TTGTTTGGGAGGCTGGAGCCCCGCCCTGCAAGCAGGAATGGAGGTGATGATGCAGGGATGGGGCAGGAGCTTCCAGTGTATGGCAACAATGGTAGTTGTCTTAGTCAGGGCTTCTGTTGCTGTGATGAAATGCCATGACCAAGGGAAGATAGGGTTTATTTCCTTTATACTTCCAGGTCACAGTTCATCACTGAGGGAAGTCAGGGCAGGAACCTGGAGGCAGGAAGTATAGCAGAAACTCTGAAAGAACACTGCTTATGGCTTGCTAACTTGGCCTGTTGTCAGCCTGTCACACAACCACCGTGAAACCATAAACTTTGTTTCTTCTTCATCCCCAAGATCTCACACTAGAATCACAATATAAAACAAACCAACTTTCAAAAGTCCCACGTTTACAAATTCAGACGTGTTAGGAGTTCAATCTCCTTAAACATCCAAAGTCTCTGTCAAGGTTCAAGTCTCTCTAAAATATTCATAGCCTCTCTGAAACTCATCTCTCTACTGTGGGCTCCTGTAAAAATCAAAATAAGTTAAACACTTTCTTACTCCAAGATTTTCTGAACTCCGAAGGGCTTGTCATACTCCAAGGTCTCCTGAGCTCAGGATGGCTCCACACCATGGCTGCTGCTGTCCTTGGTGATTGTCCGATGGTGGCGGCATCTCCAAAATACTGTGATCTCTGCAACTAGGCTGCACCTTCACCCATAGCCTCTCTCAGACTTTCTTTGGAGCTCTAACCCTGCCACATGGTTCCAAGTCTCTACTTCTCTCTATGGTCCCTTCAATCCTGGGGCTTCTACTGCCACCAGACTACACCTCCTCCATCACCTCTCCTAGGCTCTGTCAGGGACTCCAGCCCTGCCACACAGCATCAAGCCTCAGATGTTGCCTATGACCCCTTCAAGCTTTCAAAAGCAGTACCACCTGGGTGACTCTTATCACCAAGTCAATTACACACTCTAATTGCCAGCATGCAATGCAGCCTCGTCCACCTCACCTCCGGACCATACTTCTGTGTGCTGACCTTGAGGAAGGGCTTCCGAGATGCTGGTCTCTTAATCATCGCTGACTCTCAGCTCCAGATATCTGCCAATTGTTTCGCTTCAGTGGTGCTGGTCTCTTGTAAATCATGGCTTCACCAGAACCACAGAGTTTTAACTCAATATGCAATGGCCGGGCTAGTCTTTAAGCGACTCTCAGACTTCCCTCTGGAACGTCACAGGCCAGGCCTCCATGCTCTGCACTGCTCTCAGCACGATCCTTTACTCTTCCAAGCTCCCACAGAACAGCCTTGTGAGATCTGAGAACTCAACAGCTCCTCCAGCCCAAAGTTCCAAAATCTTTCCACAATCCTCCCAAAACACATAGTCTGGTCTGTTACAGAATAGTCCACAACCTGGTACTGATATGTCTTAGGGTTTCCATTGCTGTGATGAAACACCGTGACCAAATGCAACTTGAGGAGGTTTGGGTTTATTTAACTCACAGTTCCACAGCCCTAGTCCATCCCTGGAGGAAGGCAGGAGGCAGGAGCTGATGCAGAGGCCACGGAGGGTGCTGCTTACTGGCTTGCTCAGCCTGCTTTCTTACAGCACCCAGGACCATCAGCCCAGGGGTGGCCCTGCCCACACCAAGCTGAGAGTCCTCCTCCATCAATACACCACAGATTTGCCCATAGGCCAGTCTGGTGGGACATTTCCTCAACTGACCTTCCCTCTTCCAAAATGACTCCTGCTTGTGTCAAGTTAACACAAAAGCTGTGAGCACAGTGGTGATCGTGAAGGTGGAGTTTACACGGAATCCCAACCTCCCCCCAACCCCCAGCGCTGAAGGTCTTGTCAATGCTGGCCAGGACACCTCAGGCCCCATGCCAAGAGCACACTGGGGACCTCTAAAGGTACTTGCAGTCCCCAGGTGAGCTCCTGCCATTGGCCCTCACTCTGGTCCCACTTGGGGGGTGCAGGGAAGGAGCTAGTCTATACCATAGGCTGGGTGAGCCAGACCTGACTGCTTGCTCCTCAGGGGCTGAGGCCCAGGTGCTGCCCACTCACCAAGGCAAAGATATTTCCTAAAATCACTCAGAGTCTTCGGCAGAGTGAGCCTCAGAAGTTAATATTCCCCTTGATCCTCAGTGAACCATCAGTGGGACATGACCAAGGGACAGACTCCAGGATGACACAGTGGGCTGCACCCTGAGGCCTTTGGCATTTAGGACACCATGGCTGAGGACACCCTGGATTAGAGGTGGGTGCATTTTTTTCTGGCGCTGGGGAATCAAACCTGGGTTTTGTGCATGGTGGTGTAAGCTTTCTACCTAGAGTGAGACCCCAACCCCTCTCTGGATTTTAGTCAGTGAAAAAGCAGAGGGCAGAACTGTGTGGTATCTATTCTGTGAAAAATACGAAGGCTCAAGCATGGTGAGGCACACCCTCTGAGGCAGGGCCATTAGTCCTCCTTTGGGGTATCAATTTGCACCCAGAAAAGAAGGGCTGGTCCCTACTGTCCCGTCCTCAACAGGCTGAAAAGTGCTAGCTGTAACGCTTAGAGAAGAATAAACTTTTCCAAAAAAAAGGAAACCTGGGCTGGAGAGATGGCTCAGAAGTTAAGAGTACTGACTGCTCTTCCAGAGGTCCTGAGTTCAATTCTCAGCAACCACATGGTGGCTCACAACCAGGAAACCTGGGCTGGAGAGATGGCTCAGAGGTTAAGAGCACTGACTGCTCTTCCAGAGGTCCTGAGTTCAATTCTCAGCAACCACATGGTGGCTCACAACCATCTGTAATGAGATCTGGTGCCCTCTTCCAGCCTGCAGGCAAACATGCAGGCAGAACGTTTTATATATAATAAATAAAATCTTTAAAAAAAAAAACAAAACACACGCACACACGCACACACACACAGACTCACACACACACACACACGCACGCACGCACGCACACGAAGTCACTTTGAGTGGCTCCAGACTGAGGAAGAAGCAGCCCACTAACTGGCTACACCCCATTCCTAAGCTCAGGCCACCTTTCCTATGTACAGCCCACCCCCACCCCCACCCCCTCAGTTCCAGGTTCCCAGCCACCTGTTGGAGAAGAGCAGGCTGGACTAGCATGGCAGGCAGAGCAGCCCCAAGGGCTGGAATCTCATCAGCCCCAGAGCTAGCAGGCTACAGCTAGCCAGACCTGAGAGCTTGATGAGACAGCTTCCTGTAGCCCCCACGCCCCACTCACTGGGAGAAGTCTTCACTCCAGATGTGCAGGCAGATACAACTTCCTTCAGCCTTCCTTCAGGGTTGGCTTGCCCAGGTGCCTGCTGCTCCAGGACGTGGATATGAGTGTCCACGGCTTCCAGGATCCCCCGGACACCGTGCAGCAATGGTGGATGCAGGGGGAAGACTTGGGAATCTGAGGATGGTCATGGTAGCAGTAAATGCCTTGCAGAGAACAGTCTGAGGTGTCCCAAGACAAGGTTCTCACTCTAGCCCAGGGTGGCCTGGAACTTTGAACCGGGCTGGTCTCAAACTCATGGTCTGTTGGCCACCACCCCTGGCCTTTGGCTCTCCTCTTCATATGAAGTATATTTTACAGACACCTCAGTTTCAAGCTGGAACTCAAATTCACCCTGACCCTGCCACCTCCTTTACCAGCTCGTAAGAGTCTGCATTGACCTTTTTTATTATTTGTCTTTTTTATTATTTATTGTTCAAATAAAAAATGTGAGAACTGCCCTTCCTGTCCCATCCTGTCACTGAACACCCATTGCCATTAGCCCTGCTTTAGCACTGGTGGCCAGGGATTCTGCTGGCTCTGTGACAAACCCTGGGGCAACACTGGCAACTGGGTCTCCTCCACTATCTCTGACACCTCTCCAGCTTCCATTCACCAGGTCCTCCTCATCCCGCCCCTCCCCATACCCCAAGCAAGCCTTTGGGGCCTTTGTCAACCTATTCTTTGTATCTCCCTAAGAGCCTAAGGAAGATATCAGAGAGGCCTCTGCTGGCAGAGGAAACTCCGTTTTCACCACAGGACAAACCTGTGTATCTTCTCCTCACCCCCTCTCCCACAACTAAGGACAGACCCTGTGGACTTACTCCTGGGACCAGTGACAGAGCTCGACACATACTGATGTTTTAGTAGACAAGGAGCTGAGTGAAAAGGTCCTGCTGTGGCCTTGGCTTGGTGTGAGAGCTTGAATTTGTGGTGATCCTCCTGCCTTCCTAGTACTGGGCTCACACCAGGGCACTGACAGCCACACCCAAGCTAACCACTGCTCTTCCCTTAAGTGTGGTCTTTAGGCATGGTCGTCCTCAGCATGTGAACAAAGCCTCCTGCTCCCTCTCCCTCACCATTCTCTCTTTTCATTAGTGTTTATGAAAAACGTGTGTACAGGAGGCAGAGGCAGGGGGTCTCTTGAGTTTGAGGCCAGCCTGGTCTACAGACTGAGTTCCAGGATAGCCAGGGCTACACAGTGAGGCCCTGTCTTGAAACAAAAGAAGCAATAGTGAGGTTTCCAGCCTTGCTTTGTGGACCAGGAGCTGTCCAAGTGCATCTCAAGGACTGCGGTGTTTTCTTCAGTGACAAGGTGGCTGTCGGCACTCCATTTGTTTTTTCTTGGCCACTCCATCGGAGCAGGGTGGGGGGGGGAGGGGGGGGCAAGACAGAGAGAGAGAGCGAGCGAGCGAGCGAGCGAGCTTGGGCCTGTCCTCTGTGTGGTCAGGGCTGCCAAGCTACATCTTCATATCTTCCTCCTAAGTGGGAGCTGAGTGCTGCTAACAATGGGTATATGTAACACCTCACCCAGAGGAGGTGACGGAGCTCCAGGAAGGTCATCCTTCAGAGCGAGCAGGGGATGGGATGGGAGAAGCCCTACCTCACAGGGGAGCTTGTCTGGGCCTCCCTCCGGCTCCCAGGTGGGGAAGGGGCTCTGCAGCTCCTCCTGTGGCTGTACCAACAGTCACCACCTGGGAATGCAGTTGATATCACAAAAGAAGCAGACACAAAAGCAGCTGCCAGGAGCTGGTAAATTGTTTATTCTACTAGCAACGTTCAGAAATGTGCAGACCCAGGCTTCAGGGTGAGACCTGTGTGGTGGCTACTTCCAGAGATTCCCTGGCTTCTAGACACACCCGTGGGCCTAGCATAGGGGACTGGCTTCCAATGGCCTGCCTCAATCTTGGGATCCAGGGTTTGGGCTCTAGTCCTTGAGGAGAAGCGGTGCCTTCACTTTGTCAGCCATCTCCTTGCCACTGAGTGCCTCCACAATGGCCAGCGCAAACTCGAAGCTGGTCCCAGGCCCTTGGCTGGTGAGGATCAGGCCATCCCTTTCCACACGGCTTTCTGTGTAGCTGTAGTGACCTACAGGGAACAGACACAGTCGCTCTAGATTATGTCAGTCAGACAACAACTGTCGCTCACTGGCGCTGCCATTTCTGTTCTTATGCTGTGGCTATCAGTTTCCTAAGCCCTCCAGGCTATCTCAAGCCCTGTGGGGGAAACAGTAAAGCAGCTGCAGGGGTGAAAGGAAGAGAGCACTGGGCACAAGGGAGAGAGACAACTCTGAGGGGAACTAGAGGTGAACTTCTCTACTTTGCCACAGGGACTCGTTCGGGATCAAGTCAGGGAGCAGGAGAAGAGGCCGGACAGTGACCGTGATGAGGACGGAAACTGGCTGGTTCACAGGTAGTCCCATCCTCTGCAGCCTCAGACCACACAAGACTGTAGCTGGGAGGCAGACACCAGCAGCACAGGCTTTCTTCCTCTATCTGCCACCTGCAACTGAGACAATGTGGGGCACTCCACAAGGACCCCCAGCTCCCCTCCCCCATTCTGTCTCTTCTACACAGGACCAGGCTCTCTACAAGTCACACCCACCCTCCAGGCTGTCCTTACTCATCTTCTAACCCTCACCATACAACCCAGGATGTGTTGCCATCATCCAGTCCTTGGGTCTTGACTCAGTGTGGCCCTGCAGGCCTGACCTCCCACTGGGCTGGGCCTGCTGCTTCTCACAGCCTGCCCTCATCCCCTCCAGCACCAGCTATCAGCTTTGCTCTTTTGTTTAGAATCTGCTATTCAAAGTGCCTGGGGCGCTCAGTTCCCCCTGGCAGTCTACCCACCGGTGAAGGAGGGCTCGGCTCCAACATCCTCCTGGTGGTTTCTGTCCCCCTCAGCACCAAGGGCACTGTCCAGAGTGCACAGAGGAGTACAGAGGAGCCCACTCTAGGTACCCACGGGAGACCCTGTGCCCAGGCTGTGGAGTCTCTAGCCTCAGCACAGAGGCAAAGAGAGGAAGGGGAAATCTGGGACAGAACCTTAGGGAAGAGAATGATGTCAGGGCTCCAAGAGCAACAGACTGAGGGAGGGCCCCAGGGTTAGGGCTCCTGTGAAGGGTCAAATGCACAGGCGCACAGCCGCCTACCAGGGGCAGGCACACCGCTGATCATGACCTCCACACCCAGCTGGGCGGGAACCCAGCATGGCACCAACACGAGAAGATATGCCCATAGCCTCACGTCTACTGTTTCTGCCTGGGACGAAGAGCTCAGGGCATCCCGAGTTCACTGAGATCTCTAAAACACATTTCTCCTCCAAGCGGGCCAGCCATATCGGGAGGAGCTTGCCTTCCTACCTCGTTCAAAACTCACCCCATCTGCAGAAATAAGCAGGCGGGGTGCATCGGGAACTTCCCATTTATACTACAGTGAAGAAAACGGGGACCATCACTTGAAGGGACGTTTCCGTTTACCGAGCCCTACAGCTAAACCAGGTCAAGACATTTTAGATGATAAACTAGAAATGAAAAGAGACCTAACTAGGAGGTTTAAAGGGCTCAACCAGGGGTTGATTCTTGTCAATGGCCCCACCTAGTGGCCACAGTGAGGAACAGCCTCAAAAAGTGTACCAAGGCAGCCCGGGATGCTTTGGAGCCTGGGAAAGGAGGCTAGCTGGGATTTGTGAGTTTAGGGTAGATTTGTAAAAATCTCTTCGAGGAAAAGGCAGGTGGAGAGGCAGACCGCAGGTAGTGACTGAAGGCTGCTGCCTGTGTGTGCAAATACGAAGACATGCAGAGAGCCACTCACTATGCCTTGTCTGTGATACCTGGGGACACCAGTGTGGGGCAGCAGAAAGAAAGAGAGTGAGAGAGAGAGAGAGAGAGAGAGAGAGAGAGAGAAAGCAGTCAATCCCGGTGCACAGTGGCTCTGGGGTCCAGTCCCTGCTGGTCTGCCCTTCAGAACTGTCTGACCTCTCAGAATGTAGTGTTGTGGGAGGGCACCCACCCAACACATGGCTCTGAGAAGTATTGCCACCGCCATGGGCAAGGGAGGAGAAGCTGTTCTCCTTTTCAGAGGAAAAATTCACACCCGTTTGTCAAATGCTGTTACTGAGCCCTGCACAAGAGCCTCACCTATAACAGTCATGTGGAGGACACTACAGCCCTTCCAGAATGCTTTTAAGGGGCACAAAGGTCAGTGTCTTCAAAACAGTACTTACAGACCTCATGCTTAGCAATGACAAATGGGGGGGGAGGGGGGTTTGCACTATGCAAAGGCCTCTGGTCACCTGGCCTATGAGCCTCAGTGTGCTGGCCTGGGCAGCAGGAAGATGCCACCCTCCTTGCCAGGAACTGTAGGCTCCAGGCAAGCTGGGGGCACTGCATAAACTCAGGGATCCCACTGAGCTCTCAACAACTGTGTTTCAGCATCAGGCAAAGAAATCGGGTGACATACGAAAGCTCTTCCTGCACTGTCCCCACACAGTGCCAGCCACACCACACAGGCCTCAGCTCCCGCCATTCTTTCCTCCTGACCTCATTTCCTTAGCTTAGCACGAACTCAGCTCCTGTCTTTATAACACAGTGATTTTCACTCAGTTTTACTGACAGTGAAGTGACAGGCTTCCAGGGAAGCACACAGCAACAAGGCTAAGAACACACAGAAGTGCAGCCCCAAGAGCAACCCTGTGTGTCAATTTCATGTCAGCTGGACCCAGGCTAGAGTCATTTGAGAAAACGCCTCCGTAAGGCTGGCCTGTAAGCAAGGCTGGAGAGCAGTGCTTCCCAGCCTTCCTCACACTGCAACCCTTTAACACAGTTCCTGATGTTTGGTGACCCCAACCATAAAATTATTTTCAATGCTACTTCATGACTGTAATTTTGCTACTGTTATAAATCATAATGTAAATATCTGAATTTCAGGCTGGCAAGATGGCTCAAAGTTAAAGAGCACTGACTGCTCTTCCAGAGGTACTAGTTCAATTCCCAGCAACCATATGGTGGTTCACAACCATCTTAATGAGATCTGGTGTCCTCTTCTGGTGTGCAGATATACATGGAAGCAGAATGTTGTATAATAATAAATCTTAAAAAAAAATTTTAAAAAAATCCGAATTTCCCAATGGTCTTAGGCAACCCCTATGAAAGGGTTGTTTGACCCCCAAGGGGTCACGACCCAAAGGTTGAGAGCCGCTGCTGTAGAGCATGTTCTTGATTGATGTGGATGGGTCCAGCTGTGGGACTATAAATTGAACATGACAGGCACATGCCTCTAATCCTAGCAATCAGGAGGCAGAAGCAGCCTGATCTACAGAGAAATCCTGTCTCAAAAAACAAAACAAACAAAAGGAACCACTTTGGAATGGCCCACATTGTGATGCTGGTATTAATATGAGATCTGGGGGATGAACAGTGAAGGTGATGGTTTAATGACCAATCTGTGTCTATGTCGAGTTCACAAGGGGCCAACTGTGGTCGTCAGTTTTTATGTCAACTTGATAAAAGCTGAAGTCATTTTAGAAGAGGAAGCCTCTAGAGAGGTGGCGTGTTTCTTTTCTAAGTATCAGCTAGGCATTTAATTATTTTAGGTTGTTTTTTGAGACAGAGTTTCTTTGTGTAACCCTAGCTGCCCTGGCACTTGCTCTGGAGACCAGGCTGGCCTTGAACTCACAGAGATCTGCCTGCCTCTGCCCTCCAGAGTGCTAGGATTAAAAGCTTGCACCACTACACCTGGCTGAATTTTATTAAATTTATAAAAGAAATTTCTGCTCACCTTTCATCCCATCACTAGGAAGGCAGAGGCAGATGGATGTCTGTGAGTTCAAAGTTAACATGGTCTACAGAGTGATTTCCAGGACACCCAGAAGTATTACACAGAGAAACCCTGTCTCGAAAAAACAAAGAAGAAAGGAAGGAAGAAAGAAACCAAATTCTTCGATAGCATGGGTTCACATAGGCAAAGAAGCAGAAACCAACCATGCTCCGTACCCAGGAGAAACACAAGACACAGCGAATCCCAGCCCCAATCTGTGCAAGACACCTAAGGTGAAGGCAAGGCTAAGATGAGCAGCAGGGCACACCCCTGCTCTCCCAGCTTTTTAAGGCTGAGGCAGGAGGATGGCTTGAGTCCAAGCCCGCCTATGCAACACAATGAAATCCCATCTCGAAACCAGAAGTGGCTGCAGAGGAATCTAATTAGACCTCATCTGAGTAAAGACTACTAAACAAAAAGGATAAAGGGCAGCTCTAGAGCTGTGTAAGACTCTTCACAGGAGCTGCACAGTGGAAGGGGAGGGACACCTGGCCTGGCTTTACTCCCCCCATCCCGTCTGCAAGCTTCACCCTGAGCAGAAATTTCTTTTATAAATTTAATAAAATTCAGCCAAGTGTGATGGTGAAAGCTTTTAATCCTAGCACTCGGGAGGTAGAGGCAGGCAGATCTCTGTGAATTCAAGGCCAGCCTGGTCTCCAGAGCAAGTGCCAGGGCAGCTAGGGTTACACAAGAAACTCTGTCTCAAAAATTGAACTAAAATAATTAAATGCCTAGCTGATACTTAGAAAAGAAACATGTCACCAATGAGGCAGGCCTGCCACTTAAGACATTCCCTGAAGGTCTGTTTTACTGTGGACCATGGGTAAAAGGACATTTGTCAAAACTGCCATCAGGGTTTAAATTCTACCCTTGGGCTGCTGTCAAGGCATTCGGTAAAAATAAAAATTAAACTGGCAGCTGGGTGTTGGTGGCACACGCCTTTAACCCAGCACTCAGGAGGCAGATGCAGGCAGATCTCTTGTGAGTTCGAGGCCAGCCTGGTCTTCAAAGAGAGTTCCAGGTCAGTCTCCAAACCTTCAGAAAAACCCTGTCTTGAAAAACCAAATAAATAAATAAATAAATAAATAAATAAATAAATAAATAAGCTGGCATTTCCTTCCCATTTTGACAATCCGGAGTCTGGTGCCTGCAAACAGAAACCGGCATGCTCCCCTGTATCCCCTATGTGAGTACCAGCTGAGAGGCACATCTGAAGGAAACAAGGCCGCCACACCATGGCCAAGGAATTCCTGAGCCCCAAGTCACGTCACAGCTGCCACCCCCCCATACAAGTTTCTAAGATCTTTTCTATGGGAATACAGGGTATACTTACCACCATTTATCATTTTGTCCTTAGCCCCTGGGTGTGTTGTGACCTTGCTTCCAAAACCGATTTCATGAGCCAACAGAGCGGTAGGACCTACGAATAAGATGGATAAAAAGATGAGAGTGCAGACAGAAGATCTGTGCGTTAAAACCTGCAACAGTGCTGGACATGGTGGAGCACCCATTTAATCCAGAGCTCGGGAAGCAGAGGCAGGGGGATCTCTGTGAGTCCCAGGCCAATAGGACTGCGTAGTTATGCCTCTGAATAACATACTTAAACACAAACAGAAGGGTGGATCCCAGATGGGTCTGTGCAGAACAAACACGTCTGCCGAGGTCACAAACTCGCAAATACTTCAGCAGCTGCTTACCAAAACCCTTCCTCAATACTGTAGAGCAAAGAGACACACAGCCCCGAGGAACAGGGACTGTGTCCTGGGAGTACAAAGGTGAGGGGCTGCCCTGCTAAACAAACACTAGTTCCCTTTTTATTTTTTTACACACATGGGTATTTTGCTTGCATGTACTTTGTCTGTGCATGGTTGGATCCCCTGGGACTGGAGACACACCTGGCTGTGGGTAACCATGCCTGTCTGTTGACTGCTGGTCTCTCTCTCCAGCTCCTGCCTACTCTTTATAAAGAGTTAGTTTTGTGGCAAAGGCATTGGGGTCAAAACATGCATGTTTTGTTGCTGTTTCGTGACCACTCTTTTCTACTTCAAAGTGTAGAGTTGAGTTGCTCAGCCCCACACACACCTACCAGTTGTGGGATGAAGATGGAAGGCAAGCCGGGCCCTGCAGGGAATCCCTGGGCTCAAGTCTGAGGTGCAGAGACACTGGGTCCTTTTGAAGCCTCTGATGTGAAAAACCATGCACACTGCCAGCCCACGAGACCAACATGAGGACCAGCCTGTCTGTCACCGGTGAGCTCAGTGCAAACGGCCAACTTCAGTGATGCTCACAGCACACCGTGTCTGTCCCCACCCGAATGTTTCCCTCAACGCCTCGTCCTCTCTTCATGAAAACAGCACCTGACCTCTCCTGTCAGTGAGCTTTTACTCTGCAGCCTCCTCCAGGCCTGGCTCCCTCAGAACAGGAGCTCTCGACCCACAGCCTCTCACCACAGCCGCTACAGCAGGAGCTGGCACAGAGCATCACTGTCCAGGCCTGGGCCACTCACGCCTCAGATTCAGACCAAGCCCACAGTAACCTCTTGAGTCTAAGCGTCAAATACACGCCCTTCTCCACCTCATACCTTCTCTACACAAGACAGTTGTAGAGGGCAGACAATTTCCAAAGTCTAAAAATGTCATAATTACCACTCAATGGTTTTCATTTTAGGACAAAGGAGTCTCCCTATGTAGCCCTGGCTGGCCAGAACTCACCATGTAGACCAGGCTGGCACAGACTCAGAGACCTGCCTGTCTCTGCTTCCCAAGTGCTGGGACTAAACGTGTGCCGCCACGCCCAGCTACCATTCACTGTTATTGGAACGGTTTCATGTGTACCTCTCAGATTCTCACTGGGGAAGATCTGAACTGAGAATCCTACGTCATTCTCTACTTGGCAGCAAGCTTCTGCCACTAACCTTGAGGGAAGAGCATGGCCAGGTCAGTCAGGTCTCGAGGCTGCTCCCCTGGAGGTAACGGCATTGTTGCTTCATGCAACAGGGTTAGGATGCATGGCTGCCTTCCCTGTCATGTAAGCTCCTCACTGCTGACTTCTGAGAGGCTGGGGTGGGGGTGTGGGTGGGGGTGAAAAGCCCATTTTGAAAATTAAGACAAACTTCTAACTGCCATTGGACATGCCTTAAGAGTTAGCTCTGGGAACCCTGCTTCCTATGGTGCCACCTGGTGGACACTTGACAAAAGAACACCCAGCTAACTGGAACTCCTTGGGTACCCTGGCTTTTGGTGAACTGTTCTTATAGGGCAGCTCCTAAAACCCTGCCAGGGCTCCTCCACCTTCAAGCTCCCCACCCCATGCCCCATCCCCCACTCAAAGTAATGCTCCTTGTATTTCCTTCCCAGGAAAGCCTCCTGCCGCCGATGACTTTCTTCAAAGGTGAAGCTAACAACCCAGTTCAAACATGGTGCCTGAGGGAAACTCCAGACTGCCCTGACCTCTTGTTGACTGAAGCACACATCTCTTCTGTTACTGTGCTCCATTCCCTGCCTAAGTTATGCCCGTGTTCTCTGTTCATCATTCCAGGGTGGTGGCACAGGACGATCAATTCGATTAGCATGGCACGGCACACACCGCTAGTATTGTTTCTGTTGTAATGTTGACCTCACGCACAGGGAGGCCGCAGCGTTGCCGCGTGCCTCAGCAGAAGAGAGACAGCCAGCTAAAGCTGGCAATGGTCTATCTACTCAGTGATAGGGAAGAATGAGATGACTCCGCATTTTAGTTTCAGCCAAGTCATAAGGAACAAACGCAGGAAAACCCTAAGGTCTCCCAGATCAGTGAAGAGCACCTGCCCACCTGTGACTTCCTGCCCACAGAGGACAGACAGTTCAAGGCTGCAGGGATCACAGGACCATCAACCAACAAAAACCCCTGGGCCTCTTCACAGCAGGGAATCAGAGCTGTAGGAGCCAGGACAAGATGTCCAGGGCAGTGCCTAGGTCTGTTAACAGTTCTCACGCACTCGATGCAGGGACCCCCTGAATGTCTACTCGGGTGGTGTCTGTTGCTGTGTCATGTCAGGGAGTAAGAATGGTTTCACCAGTCAGTCTTTGGTGCCAGGAATGGAACCCAGGGCCCCACACATGCTAGGCACACGCTCTACACCTGAGCTATGCTATCGGTCCCAAGCTGGGAACGGTTAGAACTTCCCCCACTCTTCCCCCTTTTTCTTCTTTGGTGAGAGGCTCCTGCTATGTAGCTCAGGGTGGTCTTGAACTCATGAACCTATTTCTACATCCCCTGTGCTGGGTTTACAGGTCGATCTCCACAGCCAGCCCCAAACTGGGAAGACTAACAATAGGAGACAGCACAATGCCTTGCCTGAAGGATGGCATTGACAGCCTGATGGCATTCCAACAGGAGGTGGACAGAAACGGGCACAGATGCTCTTGCTGGATCTACTCTGTCCCCCAGCTAGGACAGAGTCCCTCAGTCCCCAAACAGAACCATCCATCCCTAAAGTCACGGATCATTTGTTCCGTGACACGTGTAAAAGGTGTCCAGCAAGGAAGACACTGGAAAAGTGGCACTGATCCAGACGCCAGAACATCACCTGATGTTAGAGCAACAGGAATGGGTTTTAAGGAAGGAAATGACTTCAGATTCAAGGCCCAGGACGCGTACAGAACCCCAAAAGACCTTATCTGAAGCCATGGGTGTCAAGGGGCATTGAAGCAAACCCTCAGCAAGCAGGAGGCAGGAGAGCCCCAGCTAGAGCTGTGGTGTTCAGGCCACACAGATTCTTGCTGACTCTCCTGGCAGGCCAGACTGCTGGCACAGAGATCTGCTGCGACAGGCTGTTTGCTGGATTCCAGAGGTCTTATCCCCAGGTCAACCAGCTAGGGAAAACAGTGAGTTCCACAGACTTGAGACCCAGAGCATGGAGAGACGAAGAGTTCAACAGTCATGCTCAGTGAGGCAATGACACAACTTCATGGCACCCTAACCAAACACCCAGTGTGGGTGCCTTTTTGGTTCACGAAGGTAAGTTGTATGCATTCAAACTTCCAGGCAGGCTGGCCCCTCAGCCAGCTGCGTGGTCCACACCCTGTACTTACTCACCTGCACAGATGGCAGCTATGAGGCCCTTCCTGCTTTCCTGCTCCTTCAAGATCTCCTTCACCACAGCTGACTAGAGAGAGAACACAAACACCTAGTCACCACTGAACCACAGAGCACCTTACAAGGAGAGCAGGGCACTCACTCGAGGCTTAGTTTACTTCCACCTGCTTTCCAGAAAGAGCTCTAAATCAGTAAACACAAAAGTGACAGGTTCCCACATTCCCCCCAAGAGAAAGGCCCACCTCAATGAAGACGGGCAGGAAAAAACAGTGTCATCGGGGCACATGACCCTGGTCCTGTGCTCTGGAAGGGGCAGAAGTGAGGAGACATGGGGTTCAGTAGCTTCAGATGGCAGATGGGACAAGACCCCAGTAGGAACTGTCCACCGACTGCCCCTGCCTGTTCATAGCCCACTCCCTACTCCCGACGCCTTCCCGTCTGACTCGGCACATCGGGCCGCCTCTGATGCCACCCTGTATTCACACTGGCCCTCATCGGGCCCAGCTGCCCCCGAGCCCGGGGGACAGAGCAGGCAGCACTTGCTAGGCTGCTGCCGAGCCGGGACCTTTGCAGCTCACTTTCTCTGATGCCACCCTGTATTCACACTGGTCCTCTGGCCCCACAGCTGCCCCCGAGCCCGGGGGACAGAGCAGGCAGCACTTGCTAGGCTGCTGCCGAGCCGGGACCTTTGCAGCTCACTTTGGGCTGCATTCGCCGAGCCTGTCTGCAGCAGCTGCTCCACCAATTCAGCTTACTTCTGCAGTAAGTGTTCTCAGAACCATGCTTTGCAATGCTGGACACCACCAGCTAACTTCGGCTGTCTCTCCTGCATCTCACGCACCACTCCTGGTGCACACCAGAACAAACACAGCACAACAGAGTAGAAGCTACAAGACTTTCTTCATACGTGCTTCAATGAGGTGTAACTGAGCAGTTTTTTACCTCAGATAAATTCTGTGCACCCAGATTGCCTCCTGGAAGAACCACCACGTCGTATGGTCCCTGTGAGTAGGGAAATAAAAGAGAACATTTTATTTCTACTGTGTTAAATGGTAGCCCAGTAACAGCTTCGTATCTGAAGACGCACCATCTGCCACAGACCGGCAGTGTGCACATGGAGGTGGGGTTATACATACGCATCTCTAGGTAGAGCACACTCTTAGCACAAGTGAGACCCTGGATCTGATTCTCCAACACTAAAAATAAATAACTAAGTGGCAGGCATAGTGGTGGCACCTGAAGGAGGAAGCAGGGGCCTCAAAACAACAACAACAAAAATCAAATAAACAAATAAAGGTATATCCCTACGGTGGAACATTGTAAGCAAAAAAAAAAAGACAGAAGGAAAGAAAGATGCAGACATGAGGGCTGGAGAGATGGCTCAGCAGTTAAACTTTTGCTGCTCCTGCAGAGAACTAGAGTTCAGTCGCCAGCACCCACATGGTGGCTCACAACTCCATATTAACTCCAGCTCCAGGGGAATCAGCACCTCTTCTGGCCTCTGTTAAGTATCCAGAGACACAGCATTCACTCACACAAACACACACACAAACTCACACACAAATAATCTCGTTTGTTTATGTATGTATTTTACGTGTATGAGTGCTCTGTCTTCACACAAACCAGAAAAAGGAATCTGATCTCATTACAGATGGTTGTGAACCGCCATGTGGCTGCTGGGAATTGAACTCAGGACCTCTGGAAGAGCAGCCAGTGCTCTCTCTTAACCTCTGAGCCATCTCTCCAGCTCAGCAATACTGAAACTTCTTAGAGAGCAATGCAGGTCTCTCCATGTGAGACAGGTGGGGGACCTGCACTCATGACCTGCCTTTCTTTCCCTCCTTCGCTGCAGTGTCTCTGCTCTACAGGGCACAGCCCATCTCTTATCACTCTGAGCCATGACCTCTGACCTATGGTAGTGTCTAAGGGTCAGTGGGCAGGGATGCTTTGGAGGAAAGTGATCCTAGCCTTCCAAAGACAACCAACAGTACCCGTCATCGTACAATGCACAGAAAGCAGAACCGTGGAAGGAGAGCTCTCACCTCTACCCCAATCCAACTACACATCACCTACGCAATACCCCACAGGAAAGGAATCCTGCAACTCTACCTGTCACTCTCAGAGGAAAGGGGAGGGAAGAAAAAGGAGCCCGGCCCATTATCCAGCTACCAGGGAAGCCCAGACAGAGGGGTTAGGAGTCAGGCCTGCCTGGGCCACAGGAGTGCCACTTCCAAAACCCTGTCTCAAAACAAATCTTTAACAAAGGAGGAAGAGGCTAGGAGGATGAAAGTTACTGGCAGAGACCTTTCGTGGCCGTGTAAGACCCAAAGTTCAGCTACCAGTACTGAGAAAGTCACCTCCTTAAGAGGTAAGGAGGCCTCTGGGAGAAAAGTGCCAATGAAGAACAATGCTCCCACTCAGCCACCATCTGTGAGCTCTCCACCCACCCCACCCACTCACAAGTCACAGGAGCCAGCCATTCCCATCCAGGAGGATCATTGTCTTTAATTCTGTTTGTTTTTTTCTGAGACAGGGTTTCACTGTGTAGCCCTGGCTGTCCTGGATCTTGCTCTGTATGTAGACCAAGCTGTCCTTGAACTCACAGAGATCCACCTGTCTCTGCCTCCCAAGTGCCAGGATCAAAGGTGTGTACCACCAACACCGGGCAGAATCATTTTCTTAAGTCCATTCTAACGGCAGTCATAGATACAGCCAAAAGCCATTTCAAAACAAACAAACAAACAAACAAACAAACAAACAAACAAGAAACTGGTAAGCCCCAAGAAGGAAAAGTTCAGATATACAAAACAAACCTGCTTTTTTGCATCTTCAAGACTGGTGTCAGGACAAATCATTACATCACGGCTACACTGCACGGGGTCTTTCCCAGCCAGGCCTGCAATAGTGACTTTAATCTGGAGAAAGAGCAGATGTTCAAGAACATGGAAATATACAGACACAGGGCGACACTTAATACCCATTCGGTGGTTTTAAGTAACTTGTCAGAGATTACCACAAAACCAAGCAGAGGCAATGGCCAGATATATTAAATAGCAGGAATCTTATGGTTTGTCCAAGGACAGTACTAATTTGTAGCTGAGCTGCTACCGCAGTTCTGACTGGCTAGAACACCCTCTACGCTACAAATGTTGAGTTCGGAGATGAATTACAGAGTCACCCTTTTAATAGCCCATCTTGCAAGGTTACCGTTGTCATTTAAACCTCATAGTTTTTTCCAAAGTAGACATGAAAGTCAAACAATTAAAGAATACTTTATTGGGAGGCAGAGGCAGGTGGATCTCTGTAGGCCAGCTTGGTCTCCAGAGCAAGTGCCAGGACAGGCTCCAAAGCTACACAGAGAAACCCTGTCACGAAAAAACAAAACAACCCCCCCCCCAAAAAAAAAAAACCAAAAAAATACTTTATCCTGCAAAACATTTAGTAGCAAGACATTACCATTAGCTAGTACCCAAAACACAGGCGTTTCCTACAGTGCTGAGGCCAGCAGGTTAGCTCACTGAAGACAAGCTATCAAAATCCAGAGATGTTGATCCTAACAGTGCTTGCCCAGTAATCACAGTTTTAGGTGCAGAGTCTGAAACTGTCCTCACATTTGCACAAATAAAACCCACAAGAGTATTTATTACAGAGGCTGGAGAGGTGCCTCAGTGGTTAAGTGCACCTGGATTTGGTTCCCAGCACACACATGGCAGCTCACAGCCACTTAACTCTAGTTCCAGGGGATCAGGCACGCTCTTCTGGTCTCTTCCCGTACCAGACACACATGTAGTGCACAGATACACATGCAGAAAGACATTCATCCACAGAAAAGGTTAAAATCTTAACTATTTACTCCAGTGTCACAGGGCTGTGACGGGAGGGGGGGAGGCAGTGGCATCCGTACTGTGTAGAGTGCTGTACAGCAGCATGAAATGCGGGAACTGGAGTTTCATCTTGAGAGCCGAGTGTAAACTGCCCGGGCCTGCATTCTGCTCAAACAGTCAATCAGCACAGCTGAGTCAGCATTGCTGTCAGGTTTGTGTAAATGCTCAGAGTGAACCTGGCAGACACAAGCGCGTTCCCTGTTCACAGTGTTATAGAAGAGACACGCTCCATGTAAGCACAGGATGTGAAGCACAGGCTAATGCATGGGACATTCTGGGGAAGGAGGAATGGACACATGCCTGAGGAGACTCCACAAAGGGGAAGCAGGAAAAGCCCCTACTTCACAGCATTTACTTTAAAAACCAAGAACAAACCAACAAAAGGTGTCCAGGCCAGGAGTGTTGGCCCATGCCTGTTATCCCAACTACTTGGGAGCTGAGGCAGAACAGCTTGAGTCCAGGGGTATAGGGCTAGCTGGGAAACCCACACACCCATCCCTTGAATAAATTAATTAATCAATTAATTAATTAGAAAAGGGTCTGAAAGAAATAAGGCAAAGTGTCACAAGTCAGCAGTGATCCAGACATTTGGGAAGCTGAGGCAAGAGAACTGCCAAGAATTCAAAGCCACCTTGAGCTACACAGTAAGTTCCAGGTCAGCTTGGTCTAGAGGGTGGAACCCTATCTCAAAAGCCAAAAAAAGGTGAGCAGTGAACAACACCAGTGTTTTATTATGTAATCTCTGGAGTTTTGTACTTGAAATATCTGATGAAGTACGACAGGCAAGATGGCTCAGCAGCGAAAGGCTGAGGAGACTTTAGCTTAATCCCAGGGTGGAGGAGAGAACCAACTCATACAATTTCCCCTCTGACTTGCACACCTGAACCACAGGATGCAGGCTTACACACAACCAACAAGTAAAACAGGGAGGGCCAGCCCACGAGGGGAACTCACCCCAGCTCGTCGCATGACATCCACGGGAATCACCGTCTCCATCTCCTCTGCACCTTTGGCCAGGATGACCAGAGCTCTTTTGGAAGCCATTTCTAATTCTTAAAGATCTAAAAAAGGAAAAAAAAATTCTTTAAAAAGTTGCCAGTGTAGCCAGGCGGTGGTGGTGCACACCATTAATCCCAACACTTGGGAGGCAGAGGCAGGTGGAGCTCTGTGAGTTCGAGACCAGCTTGGTCTCCAGAGCGAGTTCCAGGACAGCCTCCAAAGAGACACAGAGAAACCCTGTCTCGAGAAAAAAAAAAAAAAAAGTTGCCAATGAATAACCACCCGAACCGTGTAAATATCTTCCAGGGAACAGGTTGGGATAAATTAAAGCAAGCCGTTTAGGTTAATACTGGTTTACATAGTGGCGTTCTGGTCGTTAATTCTGAGACGGAAACAGGGTAGCTGGGCTGGCGGGATGGACTACGGTAAGGAGCAGAGGACCCAGGTTTTGTTCCCAGCACCCACATGGCAGCTCACAGCTGTCTGCAACTCCAGTTCCAGGGGGTCTGGGCCCCTCTTCTGGCCTCCGCGGGCACTGCGCATATACAGAAGCAGGCTAAACCTCATACAGCAAACACGCTCCTAAAAACATACCGCAGGGATTGCTAGCGTGTTAGCAGCGTTTGGAGCTTCCCTCACCCTGCCTTTTCTAAGCCCAGTTTCTTACAGAGGCATGCCACATAAGGGAGGGCCCTGCATGCCTGTCACACTGATTTAGGAGAGGCGGACTTTCTTAAACTACCGTGATTAAACACCACAACTGACTTTCACGGGCCACAGAGGAAATGCACAGTCTGCAAACTTGTAAATTCTGGAGGGTTTTTCGTGTGTGGTTCCCAGAAACCGTGCTGAAACCTGTGGGGCCAGGCCAGCCTCCGGCCACACCGCTCTCGCTGAGGGGGAAGGGGATTCCTTTCTCGAAGCCCAGGCCGCTCGCGCGTGCTTTCCCTGCCCCACGACTCCAGCCGAGGCCT